TACATACATACATACATACATACATACATACATACCATACCATACATACATACATACATACATACATACATACATACATACATACATACATACATACATACATACATACATACATACATACATACATACATACATACATACATACATCATTACATTACATTACATTACATTACATTACATTACATTACATTACATTTACATTACATTTACATTACATTTACATTACATTACATTACATTACATTACATTACATTACATTACATTACATTACATTACATTACATTACATTACATTACATTACATTACATTACATTACATTACATTACATTACATTACATTACATTACATTACATTACATTAGATTACATACATTACATACATTACATTACATACATACATACATACATACATACATACCATTACATACATACATACATACATACATACATACATACATACATACATACATACATACATACATACATACATACATACATACATACATACATACATACATACATACATACATACATACATACATACATACATACATACGTTACATACATACATAATACATACATACATACATACATACATACATACATACATACATACATACATACATACATTACATACATACATAATTACATTACATTACATTACATTACATTACATTACATTACATTACATTACATTACATTACATTACATTACATTACATACATACATACATACATACATACATACATACATACATTACATACATACATACATACATACATACATACATACATACATACATACATACATACATACATACATATCATACATACATACATACATACATACATACATACATACATACATACATACATACATACATACATACATACATACATACATACATACATACATACATACATACATACATACATACATACATACATACATACATACATACATACATACATACATACATACATACATACATACATACATACATACATACATACATACATACATACATACATACATACATACATACATACATACATACATACATACATACATACATTACATACATACATACATACATACATACATACATACATACATACATACATACATACATACATACATACATACATACATACATACATACATACATACATACATACATACATACATACATACATACATACATACATACATACATACATACATACATACATTACATACATACATACATACATACATACATACATACATACATACATACATACATACATACATACATACATACATACATACATACATACATACATATGTGTGTGTGGGTGTAGGTGTAGAGTTGCAAATGTTCCTTAGTTTGAAGAATATGTGACACATCCTAAATTTTGGTTTATACATGTATATATATATATATATGTGTTGTGTGATCGTTGTAGTTATATGAATGCAATGTGTATGATGATGTGTCGGAACTCCGGAAATGTGTAGCAGAACTGCTTCAACAGGTGAATATAACTTTTGCTGATTCAAATGATGTTTAAATAGTGCATTTGTCTCAATATGAAACTATTGTTGGACACATACTACCAACTATAGAAACGGGCGACAACCAAATGAAATGACACTCAATTTGAACAAGTCAGATATGGTTGATATCACTGGATCATACCAGCCCAAACCACAAAAACAAAAATGTCGAGCAAAACAAAAAAACAAAACCAAAAGAAACAGAAACACACCAACAACATTTCAGACAGTCTGTCCTCTGGATGGTACCTGCCAATAACCAAAACGCAGAAAGAACGTCATATGTTTTTGTTTATTAAAGAAGAAGAAAAAAACGATTTTAGAAACACACATTCTCCGAACTCTTGACACAGTGAGTGTCTACCTCTTGAAAAAGTGTCTGGGGAATGGTTGTGTGTTTTTGTTGCTTTGGCTTTAGATTTTCTGGTTTCTCGAGTGGTTGGTTTTGGTTTTAGGGAGGGCTGATCCAGTGGAAGTGGAAAGAATGTCTGAGGCTTGTAGTTGTTGTTTCTTCGTCTTGTTTTTTGTTTGGTTTTCTCAAGGTGTTTTGCTTCTTGGGTTTTGGGCTGGCTGCATCCAATGGAAAGACGGTCTAAAAGACTTTTTGGGGGGCTGGATTTGTTTTTTTCAACTTTAGTGGTTGCTTCGTTTTCTCAAAGCTTCTGTTGGTTTAGTTTACTATGTATCTACCAGCACAGAGAGGCACTGCAAAAGATTATGTATCTAATGCACTAGAACAGTCTAAAAAATCAAAATGCGATTCATGAAAAAGTGCACTTCCACAGTTCCCTATTCTGCAAAAACAAACACCCACATAGACATACATAGCAATAACATATGTGTATGCTAGATGCGGAAAGGACCCAAGTGGCTCAACCTACATGTATGTGTGTGTGTGTGCCTTGATTCCTCCAAGCTGTCAATGCGATTGTCACTGTGATACCATTTGCTTGACAGCGCCAAGCTCCGCGCAAAGGGTGCTTGGTAGTGGAGCAGCAGGGTCAGCACTTCGGGCTCGTGTGCAACTAGGAGGTGCTGGAGCACGGTGCCTCAAGGCATCCGTTCGGGCCCTGAAGCAATTGGCAATCTTACTCCCCCGACCAAACGTAAGAGGAGAATTGTGTATGTATATATATATATATATGTCACACATATCTACATGCATATATATATACATAAACCTGACATCAGCTGCGTAATCGATCCCCTCCATTCCGAATAAGAGGTTTCTCGAGACACTGATTAATCTACCTGGAGACAACTCCGGATGCAACACCTCCGCTATGCAAACATGTTGGACAGCTTCCTCAACCTCAGAATAGTTCGCTTCAAACAAGGAACTTGTAAAAGCATCTTGCTTGCGTAAAAGCAAGGTCCGTCACATGTTTGTGCCCTGGATGCACAAATGCCCTGGATGCACAAGTGTAGCTACATTCAAGGTGAAGGAAAGGCATAGACTCTACTTCGCAGCCGCTTCCGCAGCCCTCACATCCTGGCCGCAGACCAAACAGAAAGACCAAAACGGACAATGGTTTGCTTCTTCTGGGATCTGTCATAACGAGCTCAGGATCTACCCTTCCGAATGGTCAGTTTCCTGTTGGGCCCTCGCCTGCTTCAACCCTGCGCTGGCAACATCTCAAGCCATGCAAATCCTTCGAAGAGGAATGACTAGTGACAACTAGCTGACGGACAGAGTCCGCCTTCCGCCTGCCCTTCGCCCGGGTCACGGGTCCCGGGTCCCAGGTCCCGCGCAGATGTGGAGGCTGAAGCCCTTGGAGAGGCCCCACAGGAGCTCTAGGCAGGCGGCCGCCAAGGTGAGGCTCTGCTGGGCACGGTCCAAGCCTCAGTCCATCGAGCGAGTCCGAGCGAGTCCAAGTCCGACAGATCCAACAAGGTCGGTCTGAATGGCAACACCCTCGGCGGAGCATGCTATGGGCGAGAAAATGTTGTTCTTCCTGTTTGTGCGGGTCAGCAAGCCCCTGTTTTTAGGATTGTAGCATCTCCTGGCAGTTCCTTGCGGAACTAGAGTATGTAGTTCATGCCAAAATCATCGGACCTTACACATAGTTGTATCAGGCGTCGCTGCTGTGTGGGAACACAATCCTTGCTAGTCCAGGGGCTGAAATAATACTGTGGTCTGGCAAGCTCCCTTTATTTAAACAAAAAAAAAAAAAACGACGTCGTTGTGTCCGAAAATGTGGGGTCTTCCAAACAGCAAGCTTCACCCAAAACAAGGCTCGTTGATCCACAAATCTTCCCGAAAACACGACAAACCCTGTGTAGACATTGCCGAGCCTGTGCCATGACCGTGCAAAACCTCTCGCAAAACAGCTAGCCACATTGATAAAGAAAACGAGGAGCAGTTCGTAGTCAGCACCATGCAGGTGATCTGCATTGCCCGCTGCGACCTCCGCGCTGCACACAACTCCCCGCCGCTGGTGGCATGGGGCGCCCCAGTGCGAGCCATGAACTGCAGAAGGCTCCTGCACGGATCGGGGCCCAGTGCCAGGAAAATACAAAAGACTTCTGTGACGTCTTGTGCCTGGTCCACTTGCAACATTTAAGCAATTCACGGCACAAGGCCCCCCGCCACATGTTAAGCGGTGCCAGGCAAGAAAGACTCTGCTGGTTTGTATGAGCAGTCTGGCGTATCCCAAATGACCGGCTCTGAACTAAGCGCAGCCCAAACAAAAGCCACGAGTTCTGTCTGATTTTCACAACCCTTCTGAAAGCCGCTAATGCCGTTGTGGATTATCAGTGACCCTTCTGAAAGCCACAGCAATCAAAACAAGAAACACCGGCACTGCGCCGGCAATTCCACCCGCCGCCTGAAGTGCTCGCCGCCCTTGCGTAGCCTCTGCAGCACCAACTGCTGTGGAATCTCCTCCAGCTCCAGCCATCTACACCACTCCGCATACACCTCGAGCGCCTCCGCAGTCCCCGCGGGCCCCGCAAAGGCGCATGGTGGGACGACTTCTCGGTGAATCAGATCCAAGGGCCAAGCCCAACCCTGAAACAAGGCCATTCGGGGTTTGCTGTATTGCCGGTTGATGATGTGGCATGGCTCTTTCTTGTTTGCGCCTCATCAGATCTCTCAACGGCACTCGAGTGTGCGCGCATACACACATAGGTCCACGCAAAGAAACTTGTCCACTGTCCAGGACTGGAAAAAATCGCTGTTTGATTAGGTGCATGGTGCCCACAACAGGTGCATCAAACTTGGCATCTGCTCGATTGTCGAACTCAATGGCCTGGAGCCCAGGCGTCGGGGGCCGCTCCATGGCTCGGAAACACCCCGCGCTTTGTAAAGCGCCACACGCCGCGCGCCCAATAGACGTAAAACGTGGTTCGGGGAGCGCAATAGATTGGTCCAGGAGTCAAGCCTAGCATTTGGTGCAGTTCAAATGTTGGAACTCCTGGTGTCATCTGCAGGGAATGAATCATGCCACGGCCTCGCTTTGTCATAGTCTATAACCTCCCCGAGCCGCACGGCAACACACACACACACACACGCACACATGAACTGAGCAACGCTTGCGGAGGCCACAGCAAACGCCACAAAGTCCGGTAGCCGCCGAATCATTGATTGATCCATGGTCAAAGCGTCGACAAACAGTCTGCTCGTGCGGATGGTGTTTTGACACCGCTCCCACTTGGAGGCGCACGGTGTCATTTAGCGGGCGCAACGTCCGCAGGTGCTAGTCGAGCGTGTAGATGGTAGGAACGGATCTGGGATGGGTGTTTGCCTCCATAGTTTGTGGTGCTTTTGGGGCCTGCAGTTTTCAAAAGGTAGGCAAATCATGTCCAGCGCTTCCTGCTTCTGCTGCCAGAAACGTTGATTTCGTCGAGGCTGCCAGGTGTCTCAGAGGGCAGGTGTTGCATCGCAGGCCCAATACACGCATGATTCCTCAATAACATCCCCATTTGCCCCTGACCCAGCATCCCCGACGTTGGCCTCTGGTGATGTATTGGTGGTTGATGCTGTAGTGATGTCTCGGGCTTCGGGTGCTCCACGTGTCTCAAAGAGTTTTCTCCAGTTCTTTCGGGATTAGGCTGCTGTGTTGCCAAACCAAAACCTACTGACAGCTGCATACTGTGTAGCTCCAAAATCAATTGAAAGCTGCCCTGTTACAGGGTGGCCAATCTTTCTCAAGCACTTGTTAGCGCTTTGCTGGGGGCGGGGGAGGGCTGCGGCCCGGTTCCATGGATTCCACGCGCGGGGCAAACGCACACAAGCACACGCACACGCACACGCACAGCACCCACGCACCCACGCACCCACCCGGGGGATGAATTTGGGGCATAGCAGGGGCACAGCAGGGGACAGCGGGGGATGCTTCCACACGCCAGCAAGCCCCTTCATAGCTCTAGAGGCTGTCAAGACTGGATATGCACTAGCTTGAAAGTATGCAAAGAATCGCCTCACATGCACACCTAGCAGCAACGGATCCTGGCGATCGCTTGGCAATTGAAAATGCTGGCGACAGTGCATTCGCTCATCTCGTGCATTACCTTTCTCTCGCTGCATCTTTGCTGCCCAGAATGGGCATGCTGTCAGCATAAGCTGGCACTGTGCCCACAGACCGGTGCCATCTGTCCAGCGACTACCATCAAGCTGCAACAATCCTAAGGATACGGAACCTCAATGTCAACAACTGGCCCCCCTTGGGTTGTCGAAGGGAATGGAGTGTCCTCCTGCCCAAATTCCAAATTGCTGGATGCCTTTAATCCATGGCCATCGATTCATTTTGGCGAAGCGAAAACCGCTCTTTTCGCTCTGCCGAGCCTGCAGCTTCGACGTTGCCAACCATTCTCGGGGCTTCGGCTGCTCTTGGTGAAACAGGGGTCCCAAGCATCAGCCCAAGGCCTTGGCAAGCTTCTTGGCCTTGGACTTCTTGTTGGCCTGGCGTTTGTTTTTGACGCACAACAAAAAGACAGTGTCTGCCATTGGTCAAGTATAGTGTGCGCTGCGCTCAATACAGGCAAAGTTGCAGATGTTGACAAACAATTGGGGGCTCTCACGGCTTCAACTCACATCCCTTGGAGCAAGTGTGAAAGAAGATCTACACAATATCAAGAAAGGTGCTGTTCGCCCAAGCCAATACGACGGATTGAGCTTCATGTTAAAAAGAAAAAAAATAAAAAACATAGTACTCTGTGGATGGGCAGTATTGCTCCAATCAAACTCATGACAAAATCCCAAGTTGTCGCATGGCTATGCCACCCTCAATCAAGCAATTGCGTTTGCAGTGACCTGTACACCAGCAGTAGTTCACTCAGGACGAGCCTTTGCCAACTCTTTGTCGTCTTCCTCTTCAATCTCCGACCTGCGGGCAGGTACGCGCCTCTCCCAAACTGACACTTTGAATTACGACTGCTTTGCCCTGTCAAAGCAGCAGGCTTGGTGCTGAGAGACATGCCGGGAGTTTCAATTGAAGTGCCTGGTGGGGGCCCAGCCCATCATCATCAGCGTCATGACGCTAGCCTGGGCAGAATGCGGGTAATGATCAAAGGAGCCCTGATGAACATTCTGCTGTTCTGCATTTGTTCAGAAGGCATTCGCTTTGCCAGGTACTTTTGCAAGTTGGCAAAAACATGAAGCTGAAGTCCCTATCCCACAAGATGGACTTGGCAGCTCCCATTTTCCTCGGCAGCGCTTTTAGTGCCTTCAAAACAGTCTAGGCTTGGGGTGCCATCAAGATAAATCACTCAGCTCAGAGCCAGGATGAGCACGTGGTCAAACTTGAACTCGTACTTGACGTCATTGGTGTCTCGCATCTCGGACGAAGAGCAGCTAATGCACAATCGCTTCGCCAGCCTTCGCACTCACTGAATGAGAGCACGCTTTTCCATCGATATCAACTTGGGATGCCTTCACACAACTGCCCCCACGCGTTGCTTGCCAATGAGCCTGGTGGCCAAGTGAAAAATCGATCGCCAAAAGCTGCGCCCAAGGCCGGAGCCGGGAAGGCACCGTGCAAGAACATAGACAAGGAGCTCATCTGGCTGTAGGGGCCAAGGTCCTGGACAGCATGAAGCCAAGCATTCCCTGCATATATCCCATGCGTGCCAGCATATCCCCTCTGCAAGGACAGGGAATGGCATAAGAGCAAGGACATCTCTGGCCTTGGGCAGCTCCACGACCATGAAGGTCCAAAACCTGGCGGGGCCGAGCTGGCGAATTGGGCCTCCAGTTCAAAGCCTCATGCCCGAGGCTTGCGGACAAAGAGGAAAATAGTGAATGCAAAATCGAAGCATGCACTGTTATGCATCTGGTCGCACCTGAACGTGTTTGGTGACACGTGGACCAAGGCCCTGAAGACACAGTAAGCACTGCTTTGACCAGCTTCAAAGAGACACTGGCCCTCAGCTTTGAATGCACTGTCTAGCTTCATACAAGACCAATGCAACATCCACAAGAAGAAAGTCACGTTGCATTTCAACACAGGCTGTGAGTGGGTGCACAAACGCATGGGGTTTCAAAGAAGACCGTTTCGGCCTTCTTTTGCATCCAACCTGACCCCGCACACTCATTCAAGACTGTGTCAACAAATCCGTAGAGTGAAGTTCCTGCCCAAGTCCGTTCCTGGATTCGAAGCTTTCCGCCTGCCCTTGGAGCTGGAACTCACTATCCGACAATCCTCTATTTTGGGTCACCAGCCCCGAAGTGGCCGGAGTCGCAGGCCGAAGCCCCAGAGCCAGATGCCACTCAGCGTCAGCATGAAGAAGGCCTGGCGAGGTCTCCGAATTTCTCCGCGCTCCGAGGTCCCAAGTCGCTCGGGGCTGGTGGGCCATCCGGCCTGAAGCAGCGCCAACGGCAGCATCCACGGGCTGAAGACGCGCCGCGCCATGGCCTGGCATCGACGGTCCGCCCTATGCCCCCCCCTAGATTCACAGCTTTGGTAAAGTTTTCCAAATCCTAGCGCTTATTTTGGTTTATTGAATTTTACCTACAACTGCTTCCTCACCTTGCTTCTAAGGGGGGATGGTCTAGGCGAAATAGTGCATGGTCTGCTGGGCAAAGCAACCTTCCAAATGGTGTTGCAGCATCAAGATCCATACAGAAGGCTCTAGCTGAAAAAAACAAGTTGTAAAGAATGCCCATGTTGCCTGCCCGTTGAACGCGTAGGCAAATAAGCGGAACCGGATTGTGAGTCATGTTGAGAAGCCAAGTGGACATGTAGACAACAATTAACTAATGTTTGTTTCAATGGGAGCGCGCTACTGCGTCAAAAGCCGAAAGCCCATGAAAGCAACCAGCGGCCATGTTCATCAACCAGTGTCTTGACAATGGTCTAGAATGGGAATAAATCATGTTGTGTGCCCACCCACAAACGTTATTTGGAAGCCACGCAGTTTGCCCCACAATGGCCATACCGCAGTGTCGGCCACCGGAAACTCAGGGATTTCTGCCACGCCTCTGCTGCGCGGCTCGCGCCACACCACGACGGTGTCACGCCTGCCCTTGAAGACAAACGGCAAATGGTTGGAACCAAAATGCCCGTGAAAGTAGACAAAAACCAAACTGAAAGTCACACATGTACAAATTTGAAATGCGCACAAGCATCGCCGAGCATCGCGTCTTGTCGTATGCTGGAAACACGGTGTGAATATTTGCACGCTTTGCGCGAGCGGCCATGGGATGTTTTGCAATTCATCGAGCATCAATCTCAGTTTTGCTTATGACAATTTGAGGCAACCAACAACGCAGCTTCAGTTGTCATAGCGAACTACATTATCTCAGAATCCGTCAATGTGTTCAAATACGGTGAAAACTCGGGTGCCCTATAGTGACGGACATACACTTAGAAACGGTTTTGGAAATTTTCTTTTGGCACCACGTACTTTTTTCGTTTCTAAGTGCTGTCCCCAGCAGGTACCTTTCGTTTCTAAGTGTTGATCCGGACTGCTACAACCCAATTCAACACTTAGAAATGGTTTTCAACACTTAGAAACTGTTTTCAACACTTAGAAACGGTTTGCAGCACTAGCCCAACAGCTGTTTATGATCGTTCATATGTTTCACGCCTTGTTTGATGTCTCTTTGGGCTTGGTTCAACCTTCACGCATCCATGCATATATATATATATATATGTATATACACATATGCATTTTCTCCTGACAGGCCATATGCCTCCCATCACGACGACCTGGATATCTTTATATATATACGTCTGCCAGGGCCCTTCCCCCAGCATGCAGCCAAAACCTCCGGGGGTTGAGCCAAACCCAGAAACGCCCCCCCCACACAAGGAACCAAAAGGGGACCGACCCCAGTTGAGGTTTTGCGGATCTCGGAGAGATGAATCCATCGGCTCAGAAATAAAATTGGCACATGCAAACGCACAGGAAACGAAAAGCGATGCTCCGATCTTTTCTGCTCCGTTGCTCTTACCAGAGTCGGGGGAAGATTCATGGTGCCACTGAATCGGCTGTTTCACAGCTTAGTGGCGCCTCCTCTTCTTTCGCTCGGGGGCGGGTGGGAGGGAGCGAAACCAAAAAGATCGCGTGGCCCCCACCGCTACCCTCCCTGAGCCAGCTCGGAAGGAGGCAAACGATCTTTCAAAGATTCCCAAGCACATGCGTGAACGTGCAACTCTCACACAAAAGTCAAAACGACCCAAGCAAAACACGCAGTGAGAGTTTGCAAATCGGCGTGCTGTTCAAACCTAACTGGGTTCAAAACCGCAAGGGCCTTCCAAGTGCCACCTCAAAAAACGGCACTTATACCCGAGCCCCAAAGGAATGGCTGACAGCGCAGGCGACGCGGAGCAAGGCGTAAGCGCAAGCAGGTGGAAGTTCGCTTCATAAACCTACGCTACCCTAACAGACAGTGGCCTCTGTAAACAGAAACCTACGTCTGCCAGGGCCCTTCCCCCAGCATGCAGCCAAAACCTCCGGGGGTTGAGCCAAACCCAGAAACGCCCCCCCCCCACACAAGGAACCAAAAGGGGACCGACCCCAGTTGAGGTTTTGCGGATCTCGGAGAGATGAATCCATCGGCTCAGAAATAAAATTGGCACATGCAAACGCACAGGAAACGAAAAGCGATGCTCCGATCTTTTCTGCTCCGTTGCTCTTACCAGAGTCGGGGGAAGATTCATGGTGCCACTGAATCGGCTGTTTCACAGCTTAGTGGCGCCTCCTCTTCTTTCGCTCGGCCACCACCCCCGCTTCCACGAGCGGAGTGCCAAGTCTGGGCTCCCTTGTGAGCCTCCGCCAGACTTCTTCCGGCAAGTCAAGCCTTCCTCCATCTTTCACCCCCAACTCTCCTGGCAACGAAGCGGAATCAAGCCTCGAGGGCCAATCTGCCGGATTCGTGAAACTCGCAACTCGCTCAAACCACACGAACGCTTTTGCGCTCGCCTCCAGCTCCCCTATGACCTTCAGCATGTCTAAAACAGCACTGGATCTCGAAGCTCGCTTGATGAGCGCAAAGCGACACGACTCATTGTCTATAAATAGCAGCACACGCCTGTCCATCATCCTTTCCTGCAAATCCCAGAGTGCGCAAACCACTGCATACATCTCGGTCTGCGCGATGATCTGTTCTCCCACCGTCCTGAGCCAAAAGTCTCTCAAGTGGTTTGGGACCCACCCATGCTTGCACACGCGGTGGTTGCTTGCAGGATCCAGGAAAACGTAGCCCCATGTGGCGCAGCTAGCCTCAAAGGCCCCATCTGTGTAAATCACGCAGGGCCGCTCATCTGTGGAGATCTGTATGCACCGTGGACACTGCCTTGGGAGAAGTTCCAGCAACTCGTCCAGCCGCCGGTTCACATGCTCTTCCAGCGCTAACTTTCCCGCCGCCAGTCCTGCAAAAACGTTGGTGTACATTTTCAAGGCCAGCCCCAGCACGAAACCGCTAGCATAATTCAGAAGTCCGTGAATCGAAGAAGCGAGCGATTTCCGCCCCTCGCTCTGCTTGAACTCCTTCACCAGTTTCACTATCCTCTCCAGTCTCTCCGGCTTGTTTTCCACTGTCAGCTTTCCGGCATTTAGAAGACTGACGTTGAAGGAAGCTCCCAGCACCACCGCTGTCTGGGAGAATGGTGCCCCCTTCTTCCCCGTTTGGGCGTGTGACCACCCCAGCAAGGTAAGCAGCGACGAGGCCGCCTTGTCCACACTCGTGGCCGTCGCCCTGAACGCCAGCATGGGATAGTCATCGAAATAATTTGCCACCACTATGTTATACCTCACTACCAGGATCCACCACAGGGCTCTCGCGATCTTGTTGAACTCAAATACGCTTGCTGAAGCCCCGAACGGCAGTGACTGGCATACATAAAATTCCCATGCACCCTCATTTGCTCTGACGCCCAGGACGGCCCTCTTGTGTGAGGACGGAGCCACCGGAACCTGCTTGTAAGCCTTGCTAAGGTCCAAGCAGCGTGCCTGTAGGGCAGAATCCGCCCTGACGCTCTCGTGCACGTGCCCGACCAACTCTTGTCCCGATGCCAGACGAACTCTCAGCACGGGACCCGACTGCAGGAGCTTTGCCACGAAGAGGAACAACGCAGAGACGAAATCGACATCATGCAAATCCAGTTTTGACACGCTGGCATAACAGGCATTGACACAAGACTCTTTGAGGTCGTCGATGACTCGCTCTTTTCCCTCCTCGCCTTGCCTGAGCAAGAAACGCCTGCTCATCGACCAGTCTCCCGACCCAACCTGCGGAGCCACAGAATCATAATCAAAGGGGCCCTTGAGGAAGCCACTGCTGACCTCCTCCCTTGAAATCTCTTGCAGCCTCTTTGAATCCAGCGCCGCATCCTCCTTGCTACTTCCCATGAGTCTGCGCCGCCTCCATACCGCCGCCTTTTCCAACACCGGCTCCGTGGTTGAAGCCGGGCAAAACTTTCGTGCGAAAAGGGGGCTCTCTGGTTCGATGCCGGTTAGGTCGACGCCCTTCATCATGATCTCAACCACTCGCATGTCAGGAAAATGCGTAATCTCTAACAAGCGCTTGAAAAGCAACAGTCTCTTGCCACCCACCACTGCTGACACGGCCTCATCAAGCGACTTTTGCAAAACAGACTCCTGCTTCGCGAGATCAACGGCCGCCCGGATATCCTGACTCAAACAGTCACTGAGGTGCTTTGCCAGGGTTGCGTGGCCCCAGGTCATCATATTGAATACTGCTACCTTCAAAATGTCCGGAATTGAGCAGCGCGTGTCCATGGGGTGCTGAAGCTGTAACGCCCTTTGCACATGCTGCACGCAATCGAAATACACCCCAACGCGAGCTTGATCTGCCTGTGACTGCTTCGCTTCTGGGGCACTGGCATCTGGGCACGGCAAGTCCTCATCCAAAAGCACCTCATCAACCACGGACACTACCCCCGCAAGGTGTGGTTGCAGCATCTTCTCATTCTTGAGGGGTTTGTAGCCCTCTGGCCTGAATTCAACCGCCGAAAACTCAGGGATCAACTGCCTGTTTGTCTTGTGCTGCCTGTTCTGCATGGCCAGCGAGTTTGCCCGAAACTGCATGTGTGAAGACTGCAACGCGCCCGGGTCAACATGGCCCGCCACACACGATGCATAACGCTTGCAAAACAGGCGTGGATACTCGGCCTCCGTGTGGGTGGCAAAAGCCCACCCACCATCCTGCCGGCTCAAGCTCCATTCGCTGTGCTCATGAGTTCGATCGCACTCGACTGCCAGCGACTCGAAAAGGCCGGGTGAGGAAAGCAGCCTCGTGGCCTTTGCTCGGCCCCCATGCATGCAAGCGTCGTAATGCACATCCACAAGGCAAAAATACCACTGCCTGAAACCCAAATCGCCCTGCTGCTTCACCAATACTGCCAGCACTTGCCACAACCAGCTTCTGCGTGGGTTCTCAATACTGACCCAAAGGCCCAAGCTGTAGCAAACGAACAAGAGTTCCACGGCCTGGTTGTACAGCTTGTTTGCGGAATCGACTCTCATTTGATTTAAAGGGCTGAGGTGTGGCAGACCCAGCAAATGATCATGATCCCTCAAAGGCGGGGGGCTTGGCGCCCCTTGCTTCCTCAGTGCGAGGGGGACGGCCTTGTCCCTGGCGCGCGAGCACGTTCCGCAGGGCAATCCGAAGTGAACGACCACCGGTCTTTCCTGCTGAAGGAGCTCGACTGCGAGCCTGACATCCATTTCGTCTGAAAGATCCATCTCCAAAATTGCTGCCTTGGGCGTAAAGGCATTTCGGTGGCAATCCACCGGGTAGACCAAAAACCCTGCTTCCCTCATTGTGGCCGACAAGATTGCCGACCCGGCGCAGAACTCAACAAAAACTGCTCTTCTGTCGGGCGCGGGAGCAGCGGCCGCAGGTGTGGATAGTCAGTGCTTGCATTCAGAAAAGGGGCGATCCGCCTCGCATCCCCTATAGTAGCACTTGTGCAATCCGAACCGGCAGCGCGCCTTCTTCTGCAGTGGGCACTTGCCGTGCTGGTACTTGAAGCACAAAGGCTTGCCGTCTGCAGTTTTCCGC